GACATCGGCCGGTCCATGCATTGCAAAATCGTTGTCCCCTTCTTAGCAAGTGTGTCAGCAATCTCATTGCCTTTAATGCCACAGTGACCAGGAATCCATTGTAGGACCACTGTTTTGTTTTTCTCTCTCAGCAGCTGATAGAGTTTCCTACATTCCTTTATCTCAGCTGTTTTGGGTGTCTCTGTTTCCAATAGAGTCTATTGCTGACTGTGAGTCCGAAAGTATCACCGCTTTGGTGAATTTCGTATCCAGGCAACATAATTGGCATAGTGCTATCCTAATGGCCTCTATTTCTCCTTCAAAAGCGGATCTACCATACAATATTTATTAATAAAAAAGACTACTAAAATCTTACGAAACAGAAGGAAAATTTCATTTTGAAAATATCCAAGACTATCCTGATCAGCACTCACCTTCAAGATAAGCAAATAGACCCATTTCTTTACCAAATGAAATTCGATTTTGGAGTGGTGTCATCGATGACTTGTTGTTGTATTTAGTTTTGCCATTACCATTTGCACACTTTCTTCTAAAAGGCGAATCAGATTTCGCAGGTTCACAACGACCGGTGACATTGAGTGGATCCAATTCGACATTTGGATTGTGCCGACGAACATAATCAATGGGGGCCTCATCTGTGTCATTGTTCACGATTGGCAAAGGATCTAACCATACGGTTCCGCCGTCAGAGACGTAGTAGAGCTCGTTGAAGAGGGCGGACTTGTACCAGTCTGGAAGATGACTTGGAAGAAGAAAAACGGGATATTAGAAGAGTGGTTCAAAGAATTAAGAACAGACCTGAGTGGTCAGTGCATTTAAGTTAGAAAAGATTATTTGCGCAAACATTAATCAGAGTATGCATTTTTACGGTACAAGTCCGTCAGAAAGAGGAGAAGCATAGAGAAATGGGAAGTTTATGGACACCAACAACTATGATAGACTGAATTCCGTTAACGATTACTTATAAGAGGTGTTCACAATCGGGAATCAGGCGCTTGCCCTATCGTGATTATTGTGTAATTTCAAATGTATAGAGAACAGTGACCAGAGGGCAAATTTTAGTACAGGAAAAACTTGATTAACTTGTTATTTTTTAAACAAATTGCGCGATTTCAACAATTTTCTTCAAGAGTGGCTTGAATTCTCTTCACCTGATATCAAGCAATTAGCAATTTTAAATTTCGAAAATTAGGAAAACTTTGAACCCCTAAAATTATAGTGGAAATCTCAACCTTCATAAAAGATTGTAATGTCTTGATACTATATCATTTGAAATTAATCTATATATATATTCGGGAGACACGTCTAGACATAAAGTAAGTAACAAGTAGATATGAAAATCAATTGCAATTAGGAAAAATGTTCTCCCGGAGTCTCCTTTTGAAATTTACATAGCCTTCCAATCAGTTTTCTTATCGCGCTAAAATAATAGAAAACTTTTTCAAAATACTACTCCACTTGTCTAATTTCCTATGAAATTACCTAATTCCTATATATATATATATATATATATATATATATATATAACAACGTTTTATTTATTATGCGGAAAAGAAGTAGAAATGGTGTTAGACACATAAGTCCAAATAGAAGCGTACATATACGAATATGCATGGTGTGGAACAAGAAAAGATTTTAAGTCCGATAAAAGGTAAACAAAGACGATTGAAGTCTTCACAAATTACAATTATTACTATTATGAAATTAAGCACTATTAAATAATAATATTCCAATTATGAATAGGAAAGGGATGTCGTTGCTGTGTAGTTTAAGATGACCGCTTTTTTCCTATTTTCAAGAACTAAAACTATTTTGCGAAATATGTAATTACGAAACAGTGGATAGATGTTCCTGAAAAAATGTAATCTAATTGAGCAGTCTACAACTAATAAGAGCTTCAATTAGAGCTCCAAATTAAAAAAACATAGTTTTAAGATTAATAAAATACTAAGATTCATATAAGCATTCAACTACCACAGTCCGAGAATCTTCCTATTTCACTCTTCACCCTGTAAATCTGAGATATATTGAAGATGACACACATCCTTATTAAAATAGTAGCTTCGATACGATCCATAAATGATTATGTGGCAACATTTAATTACCAATAATTATGAATAGTGAGTAACTGTTCCCACGTGCTAACTAGATGTTGATATGTATTTTGATAGAGGGATGTGCGATAGACTTACCTACACATGGTGGAACCTAGGCAACGTAAATTTTCATACGGAAGTCATTACACCGGCAGTTGACTTCTGACTTCAAACTACCATGACCCAACTGCATGTCATATCCGACCACTTCTACAGTAATCACCTTACCTTTTTCTCTACCTTTGTGTCTGTCACTTTGACATCGGCGAATCACTCTTCTGTTTCCCCTCTCCACTTTTAGTGACTTTGATGATCCTCCCCTCTGTGAAGCCCGAAGTCAAGTAAAGAACTAATGATAACTATCGAAACACCTGTCACTTGAAATTAATTATTGAATATTAGTATGACACAGTCTAGTTCATTCCCACATCCCAACTGTCAATTATACATCAAGAAACGAAGAAGACGAAATGATAACTACCAAAAAACCTGACATTTGATGCAAATAAATTTTGATAGATGACGACATGTAGAACCTTATTTATTTATTTATATCAAATGGCAGGCGACATGTAGAACCTTAAAATTAGAAAATATGCATTCTGGAGCTATGGAGCTTAAAGGTAACCATGACTTTATAAAAAAATAATTAAAATTAAGCATAAACTAAAGGTCTAATTTCAAGCAACTCGAAAAAAGAGCATTTCAATCAAGCAGATTTTCGATTCACTTGAATTTGGAAAAAAACTTACGGATCTCGCAATATAGGTACCTGCCAATCGATAATCGACTTTCTCCAAGATTGCCAGTGATTTGCAGCGTAAGTCAGTAGTTCCATCGCTCCATGATGTATGTCCTCCGAAAACCAGCGAGCATATCGTCTAAAAGAAAGGAGAAAAAACATTTGTCAAAAAAGGTTAGACATAGAAGAATGAGCCTATCCGATTTAGAGCAGCATTTAATCAACACCTAGGCTATATTGAAGCCGAGCATGTGGCAAAACGCTTATATTAGGTCCTTTTAAAAATTCAGCGCATTTCATAGCCTGGGGGCAGAGTGATTTTCCAAAGTAATTATAGCCCTCACAATGAATAATGAATAAATTAAAGAGGAGATTGAATTCTATTATTAACTTCCGTTAATCAGTGGGCTACTACCACTAACACGTAATTAAAACAATACAATTCGTTTTGTGTTATGCAAACAAATCAACGGATTAAGTTAGAATAGGGGAAAAAGAGTAGCGAATCAGTTCATACTGACAGGTGTAAATGATAGCTACCCTAAATCATTATTTTTACACAAAAAATGTTCACCATTGCGGCATATATTATGACGCTTGCTATTATATATTTGGGGGACATTGAAGAGGACCCGAAGAGAACACGGAAACAAGACAATACGTCGTGTGATTTTGAGCCCATTTAAACACATCCCAGAGTTCATACGTAGCTGTAAATATGTCAAAGTTGAGCGAAGGAGTAGAGAAGTTAAATTTAACTCAAATTTGAAGTGCTCTTATCATTTTATTCTATTTATATGGCCTAGTGATTCAAAGTTATTTGACGTAATGAGCCACCTTAAAAATTTTGAAATATTTTTTTTCAATAAAGAGTTCTGAAATAAAATTTTATCCTATTTAATGTTAAATTAAGAGATAAGAATAAAAAACACAATTAAGAATTTTCAATTAATGATTATATATGACGAAAGAAATCGATACAAGGGGAAGATTTAGCTCGGAAATCTTATTTTGTGTATAACTGTGCATGGGAATTGATCAATAAAAGGACCCGCAGTATATTGACTTTTAGTAAATTAGATTTAAAATTAAATATAGCTCACAAGGCTTCTCAGCAAAAGTTAGATTAGGAAATTGTTATATTTCTATATCGGGTTACTTGAAACAAATTAGATGACATTAATTCTATGAATTCAATTTTCATTAAATTGGACATTATAAGTGTTGTGGGTAATATCTCTGAAAACATCTTGGGGATTTTATTTCTTTCCACAGCTAGGCCAAAACTCACTTTGTGGTATACGAAACAGTAAACCGATCTGGCCTTGTTCATTAGAATAAGTTTAAGCACCGAAGAATATAAACAAAGCTAAAATTGATGGTTCAATTTACATATATTTGAAAATTTGAAGACTTGCCGTCTATAAGGGACGATGGATGATCTGAAGTGAACTCGAGGAGAATGCCAAGTGACAAAGAATTGAAGAGTGGCTGTTCCTGCACCTACTACGTCAACAGAATTTGAGAAAGTTCGTCGTCGACTTCCATTGCATGGAGTCCCTGAGGGTGGTGGTGTATGAGATGATCCTGGTTGTTTGCCAGAAGCTGGTGGTACCACGCAGGAGGCACAGACTGCCATTGCCAATTTGGCCGAACGCTTCCTGTCGCCCCTTCGGATGTAGCCTATAGTGAAAGGATGGCACGTTAATATGACCTCAGTCTGCTTGCATACTTGAGAGGCCGCGTCTTTCTTTTTAGAGAAAAGAGAACCTTATTATCGGTTGTTTTGGGGACTAATTTTAAAATTTCAGGTCAGCATAAGAAGGAACTTTTAAGATTTAGTGGATATACGAGGTCAAGAGACAATAGACTCGTGAAAGGCGCAATGGAATGTGATGGTTTTCTTGCAGAATAAGTTATGGAAATCCAGGCTGAGTGAAAAATTTCCAGGATGGAAAATAGGAAAAGTGCAATCCTAAATTGGAAACAATTACAAGCTCAATGGTAGGATATTGAAACTGTGAATTTTTTAAAAGGCGTTCACTTAGGTGTTTTACCAAGTTTATTACTCCAGGGTGGAAATCGTTCCAAAAATAACATGTACTAACAGAAAAAATGAACGGGAATATACTTAGAAAGATCCCAAAAAGTAGACTAGCAAAATAGGATCAAAAGAGAATGTTGGATAAGGCTTATCATGATGGACTTTGTGGGCAAAACTTTGGACAAAAATTATGAAGACTTGACTTCACTTATACTAGTAAGATTAGTAATATTATGGCTGTTTCAATTAGAAAATTGTTGATTATTATGGGAAAATGTTAATTTTTTCATATCACATTCAACAAAACTCAGATGTTAGGAAAAAAACTTAGCTTAAAGTTTTTGACTAGTAGGACTTCGGTTTCTTTGGCTATATTAAAGTCTAAAACCAGGCACTTTCTTGACAAAAGAGTATTTGACAGAAAATAAAGTACAATTTCAAATAATTGAACCAAGAGATCACCAACGCGCATATGGTACGATCAGAGATGCAATACAAGTCAACCGATCGACAATTGTACAGACAATTCCAAGGCACTTTACAGAGCGGTCACCACACGAGTGCCAAACATGTAATCACAGTAATTGAAGGTAACCAAGTTGTGATTAAAGACTTGGATCTGACTTAAATCGGCCTCAAAACTTTTATTTATTTATATCAAATGACAGGCTTTATGATAGTTATAATTAGCTCTTTAGTTGACTTCAGGCTTCACAGAGGGAGAGGAACATCATATCGAAAAAAGTCGAGAGGGGGGGGGGACAGAAGAGTGTTTTAAAGATGTAAAAGAGGCAGACACAATGGTAAATGAAAGGTAAGGTGAGTACTGTGAAAGTGGTCGAATATGACATACAGTGGGGTCAGAAGTCAACTGCCGGTTTATAGACTTTTTTGCCGCATGAGTATACGCTGCCCAGGGTGTATCACGTGGAGGTAAATCTAAGGGGAAAGTACCGTTTGGAAGACATTATATGAATTCGATTAGGGTCAATAATTTCACTATTAATGATGTAAATAAATCGAAGGGAAACATGAAATGGCAAACGCGTGTGAAATAGCTCTCCGCGTCACACCAGACTTCATGTGAATATCAAGCTGCTGTGGTTTTAATTACACAAAAAAACTGGCGTGATATTGTACTTAGAGCTTAGTTCGCGGAAGTGTACTGAATGACAATACCAGAACGTGGTGGCAGTAAATGAACATATAGTGATTACAAAGCGAAAGCCTACCATCTATTTAAAAGGATGTTTTCCTAGTAATGAAAGCTAACAAAAATTGAGCTTTGGGTAAAGAGAATCATTCAAAATTGAGATTTACAAAGCTTGAATACGGTTTCTGCAGCCTTTGGTCAATGAACCAGCCACATTTTTTAATCAGCTTCCCCCAATTGCGAGGAAATAAAAAAATTTGCTTACGAATAACACCCATTCCGGGGCTTTTGCGGCACAAAAACTACAATTACGGAAAAGTCACTTTTGAAAAGCCACAAATCTCTTTATAATCCAATAGCATTCTTCTCGTCTTTAATAAATGAGAGTTTTATTTTTTGAACTAGTTTTAATTCATGCCGTCAATTACTTCTCAAATTTCAGGGAATTATTTGCAAATTTCAACTGCTACCGAAAGCGCACATTGCGAAACAAAAAATCTAATCTAATTTTAGATGTATGAAACTCAAATTGACACTTGTTTGCTGGATTCGACACAAAACTAGTTCCCAACTGCGTAACATTGGCCAATTAATTTATAAAACTCTTTCTTCCACCTGAATAAAAACCAACAAATTCGAATATGTTTTTAGGGTGAAAATCTCTATCAACCAGCAATTTACGAAGGTCCCTAAGTCCTTTAAAGTACAAAAGCGCTTTTCAGGTAATAATTATGGGCAGGAATTAGCTATTTTAGGTCTTCGGTAGATTAAATGAATCGGCGAGTAATCAGTAGTTGAAATGATCACCACCAAGAGCACAAAAATCCAGTCTTTTTGAAGGACAAAGCAAACCCAACTAATAATCGAACAGTGCGTACTATGTCCGAAATTTAAACTGCATTTAGCATTCCTATGTTGAAAGCCACACAATTAATAGTTGGTACAAGCTAAAATCCACCAATATAACAAATCAGCTTAATTCAGCACATCAACTTACTGATGTTTATTACCAAAAAATAATAAAGATTGCTCGAAGAACACTAACATGTAAACTACCTGAAGTATAAAATCTCATTAATTTTAAAGGTAATTAATCGATAGGATCTACGTATCCTGTTTCAAATACAGGTCACAGAGCAGGTCTAAGAAAGCAAAGTTTGTTTAAGAACGATCTATTATAACCACGTTTGTACTGTGTCTCAACTTCACCCATGAGACGAGCATGATTGCCCTCCTGTCTTTATGACTTTAGCCCCTTTGGATTGACAATTGAGCGGCACGGGGTGGTAGGTTATTTGACCAAACAATTTATCACAATTAGTTACTTAATAATCTACTCTAATCTTGTGTCACAACAGAACTGTCCTTCTGTTGATCAATGTAGTTCATTATGAATAAGCACAAGATGCAACTTACTAATATTCTCGTCACTGAGTGCTCCAGTTGACTTAAGATCCTTCCAGAACTGCGAGGCCAAAGGAGCAAGGATGTGCGACTTGAAGATCCCATTGTTTGGCAAGCTGAGTTTCTCGGCGATTGTGGAGGAATCCCAAGTGGTAGATGAGCTTTCAGACAAAAAGGAGGATGACGGCGAGGAAACACTAGAGTCATCAGTTGTTTCTGTGAGATGAGAGCGAACTCGCGAGACAGCCCTTGCTCCTGGTATTGAGCTAGACATCTTGAATTGGAAACCAGAGCAACGCGTCACTCGAACCTGGAAGTGGGAGGAAGGGGGGGGGGAGGGGAGAGAAATGAAACGTTAGGTGGCATTACTGAATTAGACATATCGATAAAATTCGTGCGTATTTGATTTTCTTTACATATTTACTATCGTCGATCATTTTAATCAAATCACAGGTGATCTCAATTTTTACTGAATGCTGACAAATTAACACAACTATCTGTTAGTGTTTTGGGGGTAAGGAAGATCTGATTCTTGCTTTGTCTCAATAGATAAACGCATGCAGTCACTTTTATGACTTTAAAACTTGATCTCATGAAACCGAAAATTACGTGAGGGTTTAAGGAAAGAAAAATATTACCAAGGATACACAAGTTAGTAATGGTTGTAAATCATAATAATATCATGGTAAAAATACTGGCTTAGGCAGATATTGGAAAAACATTTGAAAGTTTACAAGTAAGTCAGTCATTCATTTAATTTCTCTGGTGGATACTGAACACATTGCCATTCTTTTCTTTAATTAGTAAAACGGCAACTAAAATGTCAATCATAAAATAGTTATTTTAGCCATCTAAAGACCGTCTTGCTACAGATAAATCCGTACATACTTACAATTTTTTTAAATGTGAAGAAATTATGGATTTTTTAATAGATTAGAGCGCTTTGCGTTACGCCACTTTGGTGGGTATCATTGTTTTTAGAATTTGACCCAATTAATGGACTTTCATTTTTATCGTACTAGATTTAAAGTTACTAACTTGTTTAAACTATGATAGATAGCTTTCACTGATTCGCGCAAAAAAACCAATGACAGGAAATATAGAGAATGCTGATAAAGAGAATGTCAATGTTTCAATGAAAGGGCCATATAAATAATCGTATTAAGTAGCCTAACAATTAAATAAGTTAACTCATTACTAACACGATTAAACTGCCCACCCGAACATTCTGGAGAGCGCAGAGGACTTATCAGCTGGCGGGCTATTTAGATTCATTCAAGTCATGCTACCAATCATGTTTGTTGTGGTGAGAAATTCCATAAACGATATACGTCTGCTTCTCCTATCCCATAGAGATTGTTTAACGCATTCTGGGAGCCTATCCATAATAGAATATTTGGCCAAAGAGATTACGGAGAGTAAGTCAAGACTTGTTAGAGAGGCAATCCGCTAAACACCCTAACAATTGTGTACCGAAATGATAAAGTTGGTAAGTGTGAATATGGTCCGAATTGTTCTTAAAAGTATAGATTGAAGTAAAACAATGGTCAAATTTACTATCATCATAGTCATAATAAAAAACTCAAGATATTATCGATGCGGAGACCGAAAATTTTGCATCAAGTTTTAGGAGAAAGGGAATAACAATTTACCCCATTATTAGCAGCGGCAGCAATACCAAAGCAACAAGCGATTTGATAGCCAATACAAGCTTCCATTAGGCATCCGCGAAGCACCCCTGATTCAAAGTTACGAGTCGCGTCCTTAATAGAAGACGTGACGATGGAGTTGAGAAGTCTAGGGTCGCAGTACTCTACCCCTGCATTGCCCTGTTCAGTTTGAGATGGTGGAGATTGTTCGTTCTGACGAGGGCCACGCCAGGTCATCGTGATTGAGACTTGCGCCTCTAGCGTTGGATGGAAGTTCAATACGGTCCAGTGGAATACACCAAGTGGAAGGCAACTGTCTTTGTAATTGTGGGGTATCACAGGTGAAATCTGGAAAACATTAATAATGCGAGTAGTAGGATAAAGAAAATATCGATTAAACATAAAACACCTAAGCGCGTAATCATATGTAAATATAAAGTCTTCTAACTGGATTTATATCAGCTGTATGGGAAAAAGAAACATAAGCATGTCTAGATATACTGAATGGATTAGGACATGTTCAAAAGTTTTATGCAAAGCAAATATTCAATTACAACTAAAACTCGAAATGATACAAAACTAGACCCACTTTTGCATAATATGGCTAAAAACAAATCGTAAATAAACTCCGAACTAAGGCAAGTGAATAGGTAAAAAATCGGTTGATCTAAGAACACTTTCATAACCTAAACATCTTTTCAATATTCCCTTTTGTGTAAAATATCATATGAAAGATATAGGAAAAATCAGGAACCAATTTTCAGTTTCACAGAAAGCAATTATATTCAGCCGTAGTCAATCACGCTCAAAAGTGTTCGAAATACACGCGTATTTATAAAATGAGATTTTAAATTAATATAAAACGATTAAATTATTCTTTTTTGTAAAGAATAAACGAAAAATTCATATGCATAACCTAAGTTGCGAAAAATTAACTTGGAAAAGATAATATTATAGAATTTTGATGAGAAAAATCTAAGGCAATTACCTGCTCACAAATAAGAACCAAATCGAATTCAGGAATTTCATAAACTGTCCATGATCGCGGATAAAGACCAATGTAATGACCATGATCAGCTGGAAATCCCCATTCCCAAGATAGAAGACCATATGGAATATTGGAGTTGTTAGTTTGGGATGAAAGCACTCTCTGATAAACTTGACCATTTCGAAATATTGTCACGATAAACTGAACAAAACATATAGCATGCTGGATAACGAAACACGGGAAAATAAAAATAGAAGAATACTGGATATAATTATACCTGATCTGAGTAATTGACTTCATGATGATAGATACCAGGACGAAGACTAGAACGACAGAATTCCCCCCTAAACCCGCGTCCAATAGTACCACAACCAATACCACCTATAGGAACACCATATATCGATTCCATTTTGATGGGATTCAAATGATCCATAAAAGGCATAGTTTTGGCAAGTTTGTTGGGGAAGTATATTCGGTATAAATATCTATAAGAATTGTAGATTATATTCAATATAAATCTGCAACGATAAATGTGTCAAACAAATGGACAATTAAGAAAATAAGTGGTAGTGGTATGACCGCTAGTAAGGATTGAAACTCGAAATACCTGAGAGCCATAGGTGCAAATTCCGCAATAGTTTTAATTCGCGGTGGCTTAGGAGGCGAAGAATGCGCATCCCTTCTGCTAAATTGAGCATACCAGCCATATGTTGAAATCAAGTCCTTGTCTTTGGCAAATTTTACAACGTCACTCGGAATAAAATCCATCACCACCCAAAAATACTAAAAGACAAAATCGTAACGGTTAGCAAAATAAGGTTGCATTTATAAGTCACTTGATGTAGATAAATTGATAAAATCTGTAAGTGAAAATTGTGAAAACTGCAGAAAATTAAAATAAAATGGCCTAAATTTTAATTTGCGGCACAACATAGATCAATTATTTTTTATTATAATGACTAAATTTCTAAGATCGTACAATTTACACAATAAGACAAAAAATATAAGACCCTATTTCATAATCAAAGGCATTAATAGTTTGGCTTAAAAATTCTTAAATTTTGAATCAGGCTTTTAAAAATTTCTAGTGTTCTGCCAATGTATTTTTCAAAGGATAGCTTTCTTCGCCCAGTATATTAGTAATTTACTTATACTCTATGTTAAGAAAATTTAATAAGAAATGTTAAATATTTAGTGCCAACCTTTCAAGAAATTTTATTGAAGAGTTTTAGCTAGCCTCTCTCCTCCGCGTATTTTGACTTCGTAACAATGTGGTTTTCTCCTGGGCTTATTCGTTCTTTTCGATTTGTCAAAATTAATTTTTTATCTCCAACAAAATGCCTTAGCCCTTACCATCTTTATTTATCCTCTTCTGTGTCGGTACCAGATTTGCAGAGTCAGTTTGTTAACCCGAGGATTCATAACCTCTTGCATAGACTCGTGTCGGTTTCTCAGCCGACTAAAATTCATGAATCAAACTTTAAAGTGGAAAAAGTTCATGATATTAAACTTCTCTCTGATTCGGAGTTGCAAGCTGTATTTGATTTAACTTTTGCCATCATAGTTTTCTAGGTTATGCATTATTCGAAGATGTTAACTACTCAAAAGCTTCAAATGCCTCCAGTGATGAACGAAAGGCCGTCAGACGATCGCGAAAATCTAATTATTTCTAGAGACTCTGAATTATGTGGAATCCTTCCAGCCAATCAAAAGCTAGCGTTTGTTGACATTGGTTTAGACTCAAGCCGTCGACGTCGACTTATGCTCATTAGAGAAGCTGATGGCACTCTCCGATATGCTGACGCTTCAGAACGCGACCGCTTAAACCAGGTTTTCTTTCCTCTTCCTGGTCGGCGGCTTCGCACGCCTTCTCTCTTCCGTGATGCCAATTTAGAGGTTCCTATTTCACATGTTTTAATTTTAAGTCTTATTTAATTTAATCTGTTGTGACATTATTCCTTATTTTTTTTATAGACTGCCTTAAAGAATAACTTCCATGAATATGTGTTAGATCTTATCTTGATTCAATTCGAACCCGATAGTCCAGAATATATTAAAATTTGTCATCGGGTATACAACGATGCTTTGGCTAAAATCTGGACAACGAATATTTTATCTGATAACCAGGAGGGGGATCGTTTGACCAAAAGTATAATTACAAGACTTCGTTCAACTAGACACTATGGTCCCCTTGCCCTCTATGTTATATCTCATCTTAGACAGCCTCAGGGACTTATACAGGAAACTCTTTCGCATCAGTCATTTGATACTGCGTATCGCCTGCTTGTTCTCACTTCAATCTTACATCCCAAGTTGAAATTTTCAAAAGCCTTCGCCTCTTGTGGGATTCCATCCAATGTCTTGGAAGATGACAACGCCATTCCAGATAATAAGACAATACTCAATGCAGTTAAGGTGCGTTTTTACTTAACGTTATTATTCCCTATTCCTAAAACTATCTATTCTTAGCTTAAAAAGTGAAGGGTTAATTAATTTTACGCCTACGTAGTCAGTAGTTATCCGATGATTTTATTTTGAGTATTCCGGTGAACGATAAATCCTAATT